AAAAAAAAATTCCTAACAAAGAAAAGTCCTGGACTAGGTGGCTTCATAGGAGAATTTTACCAAACATTAAAAAAAAAAAAACCTATTCTTCACAAACTATTCCAGAAAATTGAGGAGTGAAGGCTCCAAAAACACACAAAAAAACTACAAAAATAATTATAGTCCCACATCCTTGAAGATCCTCAATAGAATATTAGAAAATGATTTCAGCAATATATTGAAAAGATCATACACATGGTCAAGTGGGATTTATTCTTGGGATGCAAGGTTGTTCAAAATCTGCAAATCAATTAACATGCTACAATACATAAGCAAAATAAACAAAATGAAGGATAAAAATTATATGATCCTATCAATAGATGCAGAAGAAACATTTGACAAAATCCAACATCCATTCATGATAAAAACGCTGAGCAAAATGGGACATACCTATGTTCCTATCGAAGGGACATACCTCAACATAATAAAGGCCATATACAACAAACTATAGCTAACATCATACTTAACAGGGAAAAGATAAAAGTGTTCTTAAGATCAAGAACAAGACAAAGATGTCTGCTTTCATCACTTTCATTCAACATAGTGTTGGAAGTCCTAGTCACAGAAATCAGTCAAGAAAAAAAAGTGCATCTGAATAGGAAAGGAGAGGTAAAACTGTCATTATTTAAAGATGATGTCTTATGGTGATGGAAGGAGAACTGACACTGGGTGATGAACACACAATGTGATATATAGATGATGTATTACAGAATAATACACCTGAAATCTATGTAACTTTACTAACCATTGTCACCCCAATAAACTTTAATTAAAAAGAATAAAGATGATGTGATACTATACATAGAGAATCCTCATGATTCCACCAAAAAACTATTAGAACTAATAAATGAATTTAGTAAAGTAGCAGGATGCAAAATTAATATTCAGAAATCATTTGCAGTTTTAAAAAAGATTTTATTGGGGAATTGGGGGAGGGGAACAGCATTGGGGAATCGGGGAAGGGGAACAGACAAATTGCTGTCCCCTTGTTCTTCAGTCTAGTTGTGGAGGACATTGCTTCATTGGCCCTTGTTGGTATTGTGATCATTGTGCTCTTCTCGGCTGAGGCAGTCGCTCGCCGCCCATTGGATGGATGCTTACG